ATGCACAAGATGTATAATATCACCAATCAACAGAGTTTGTAGAAAAGCACTTTAGTTTGGTGAAGTTTGAGCACCATTTTTGAAGCAAATGTTTGCATAAATGTTTAAGACACAATGTAAGAAGTTGTACATAAGTTACAAAAGTCAGATAGCCTCATACACTACCTGAGTCCTTTGATAATTCAAAGAACCAAAAATTACTGGTCAAATTGTTGCCATTGCTGCACTTTTAAAGGAAACATGACAAGACTATATGCCTGGTGCTGACAGTCAGCCATCTGGGACACGTGTTGTGGGATGTGTATTGCAAAGGATGATGGGATAGTATCATTTACCCCCCTGGGTGTGAAGTGCGAATGTACAGAGTGCTGCCCAACTACTGGTGGCTCAGGTGATCTCAAGTGGCTATTTTTAATACAAAGGGCTCAGCTGACAAGTCAATACTGAGCATAGAATTTAAACATTAAACAATTTAAACAGAAGTTCTCAGTTGTCCTGTCAAGGGCGATCATGGTTAGGATCCAAATTTTGAGGCCCTTTGTCTTGTAGGCTTGAAGCATAATGATCCATAATGTCCTTGCCTGGAGATTAGTGGGCTGTTAAAAAAATATTTGGAGGGGGGTTGAAGAGCTTGGATTTTCAACTTTCTAACTCCCCTTCAAAAATTTATATTATCCGAGGGTCTTGACCCCCTTTCATTTCATCCATATCCAGGTGCCTTGGTCCCTTAGAAATTTTATCCAAGTGACTTGACCCCCCTATAATTTCATCCAAATCCAGGGTAAACCCGCAATCAATCCAAATCCAAACCCACTAACCCCCTTATGTAAAATCCGACCTCCGCAAACACCTAGGATAATCCTCCACACTTAGGATATTCGCAGCGCTCCTAGCGGCAATGCTTTGAAACGCAGCTGCCCTAATGGGACCCGTTGACCTTTTTAGACCCAATCTGCGCACAACACATTTGCGCACGCGGTGACGTCATTCAGAACACAACTTGAACGTACTCCTAGAAAAAGAAACTGCCGAAAGGAAGGACTTTTTGTGCTTAAAGGGGCGGAATTTGGTGTTAATTAGCATCCCAGAAGAAATTTTGTATACAGCGGCACAACCAGAAATATTTCCCAAGGAATTCGCACCCAAAGCGTAGGCAGGAGCGGTTGGTAGAAACCCGGAAGTGGCGTCTCAGGTGCCGGTGGAGGTGGAAACATGAAGAGAACTTTTGCTGTCAAAAGGACTTCAGTACGGTTTTGACGCGCGTGGCAACTGTTGGTGTGGCAATATTGAACTGGAACATACGACTGAACTCTGTAGTGACCCCGTGGATTTGGTGAAATCAAGAAGTAGACTGAAAAAAGACGTGGAATGGAGAATATGGCGGGAGTTCCTGTTATTCTAAATGTATACGATATGGTAAGTATCCGACTGTACATGTAGGTAAGATTGCGTTGTGTTTTACGTCTCTTTTCTCCACCAAATCGTCGCTGTAGGTGGCCAACAGTGTGAACATTTAGCCTTCGATGGAGAATCGGGTAGTGTGAACCTGCAAATTGATGTGTCCACAGGGCGGAGAGATCAAAGCAACCTTTATGGAAACACGTCAAGCAAACTCACTGATTGAGTAGTGTGCTTTATTTGGGTAAATGGTCGTACACGGCTGTGAACAAGACGGCTGAATGTACCCGATAAATATAGGTCATTCGTCAAAGGTTCTGCGTTTCTTTGTTATCGTACATGTTTTTTTTTCGTCTTGACAAGCTGCAGGTTGCATGGTATTGTGGGCTAAACGTTATAGATGACCATATCTCCAGAGATTAGCTCATGAGTCAATTCTAATTGGGGACTGCTATTATCTAGAAACACCTTGAAGTTCCTACTAGTAACGTTATCACCATTCCCTTCAGTAGTTAGTCTGTCTAGCTTCCCTTGCCTAATTAGGCAGATTATCCTTCTCCTGGTGTTCTGTACTTGTCCTCCTGCGGGTGTCAGCTCTCTGATTGATGACTTGTAAATGAAGCAGATTAATTGGTGATGTAATATTACATTTGAATAATGATAGCCCATTTATACCCTTATGTGAAGCCTGGAATCTAGTAGACTGTGACTGTTATATGGTGATGAAAGCACAGTGTTCCTATATGTTCTGGTTGGCTCTCTGACTTAAATAACATGTGACCTTAACATCTGACACTGTTTCTGTTCCAGTACTGGATCAATGACTACACATCACCCATTGGACTGGGAGTCTTTCACACAGGTGTTGAAGTCAATGGCAGAGGTGTGAGCAACCGTCTTTGTTCCTTGTTTGGAAAATGTTGTAAATAATGTATGAATGGTTGCTGGCCTGACACACATGATTAGATGGGTTGCCTAATGCGATGGGCTGTATGCCATTGTGTGATTATGATGATTATGACATGATTCATGACACACCACAGAATGACACAAAAAGAAGCCGTTTTGTGAGACTTCACAGACAGTTACATGTATCCAACATCACAAGTACACTGAGTAAAGTTGTTAAGCAGGGTATGATGGGTAGACAGCACATTTACATGCATGTGCGTCATCGCTATCTTGCCACCCACCCTTGGTCACAGTTTGTGTGCCATTCAACTACTCCAGGCGGAGTGCCACTGGAAGGTCATCCAGGTGACCTGAGGTGACTCCAGCTGCATTTTGCCTAATGGATGACCATTCTGATAATGGACAGTTGATAGTCATACCCTAAATGGATATTTCAGTAAAACAGACAGACCATTCAATGAGAGGGGATACTGGTAGTTTAATGTTATAAGGGCATTAATATTGCTCAAAATAACTAGTGAGTTACTATCATAATGACAATATTAACACTCTAATGGCTTAAGATTTACAATGTATTTGTAGGTACATAAAATGTATACTAGATGATCTCCAGGTACATCATCAATGATGTTTGTAAATGGATTCACCCCATGTAACATGTACATTGTACAGTGTAACGTTATGTCTAAAATTTGTAACATGCAACACTGATAAGACTGATGAGTGCTGATAGTTTGTGCTGCACGTGTTTGTTTCTGCATGCTGCTAAATAGTAACTTCATTCCCATTTCCAGTAACTGCGTACCAGATATATTTGTGGTTTAAAAAGTGTTTAAATTTTGTTGCATGTACCCAGTTGAGTTTTACAATTTAACCCTTTGCTTACCAGAGTTTCTGTTTCTGTATTCAGAATTTGCTTATGGTGGACATCCATTTCCATTCACTGGAATCTTTGAAATCACCCCAGCTAATGCTGAAGAACTAGGAGAAACCTTTCGCTTCAGGTGAGTGTTTGAAGTATGGGATCTAAAGTCTCTCTCCCTCCCTGCATGCAACTTAATTTTGATTAAAAAAGACATAAACATGCATAGAAGCAGTGCTAGCAACCTTTCCCTTTCAGTGATACTCATCTATAGATTTGTTTTTGTTTTAATCACAAGAGCCCAAGGAATCACAAATAGATATATGAACCAATATGATTTATCTTTTATTCCTTTCAGTTCTAGAGCATGATTTACATTGAATTAACAATCCACCAATAAATTCAAGGCTTGTCCTTAATGTCCTGTGCTGTACAGGGAATCCATTCACCTGGGAACAACTGACTTCACGGAGGAAGACATTCACAAGATCCTGGAGGAGCTTGGGAAGGAGTTCCGTGGAGACAAGTACCACCTAATGAACAGGAACTGTAATCACTTCTCAGCGGCCATAGTACAGGTCAGCCAGCTCATTCCTATATGTAACTAGGGCTTGAAATACATGGACTTTTTTCTGCATATCTGCATTAGAAATTACCTGCACCAGACAAATTTTACCTACACCACCCAGAATTTAGAAAATATTAATCAGACCAAAATGCTTAGAAACTAGATACAGAGAATAAAAATCCACATACACCAATGAATCCAGTACATAGTCCAGGCATCCAGGCAGACATAAAGAAATACCTGCACAATTCCAATTCAGCCTACACTAACCTGCACATTCTGGTGCTTTTGAGCTCTAAACAGGCATTCATGTGATGTTGTAATGCAACATCAGAAATCCCACAAGGTACGCATGATTATAAAAGGTATGCCAGAGGCATTTAAAAGCTGATAATTAAGACTTCCCCCTATTACAAGGAGCTGCATCGTAATCAGCCATTTTAATTCTACGTAGAGCGTAGACAGACCGCTCAAATTCAACATAGAGCGTAATTGACATATTTTGCGTAGAGTGTTAATTTGCCATTTTAATTCTACGTAATAACAACTGCGTTGTAATCACTTGGAATTTATCGTAAAGCGTAATGGAATCACGCAATACGTAGCCAGCTCCCAAAATTTAGCATAGAGCATTGTCGTGCCCATGCAGGCCCCCTTACAACTTCTGGGAAATCTCCCTGTTAATGCTGTTTTTGCTCCAGGCATGTAGATGGGCATCACTGATCTCTCCATAAGAGTTCTCACATGAAAGCTACTGTTTGGATCATCTTTGAAACAGCACTGACATGATTTGACACAGTTCCAATTGATGACACCGGCCCTAAAGCAGGAGATATCACAGTTGTAGCTAAAAGAGGACAACCATGCGTATGATTTGCTTCTTGGTGTCATGTGGATTATTGAATACAATGTACAACATACAGTACCGGTACTTGGAAATGTGTCATCACTACTGCCTACTGGCATCATTGCATTAGTACAGTATGATTTGTGTTAAGTGTTACATTTAAAAACATGTTATTTATTTTTCTGCAGATCTTAGTAGGAAAAGAGATCCCTTCTTGGATCAACCGCCTAGCCTACGTCAGCTCCTGCATACCGTTCCTCCAAAGATGCTTGCCCAAGGAATGGTTGACACCCGCAGCTCTGCAGAACTCCATCAAGGAACCCGAGCCAGAGAGACCGCATATATAATCATAGCAGGGTCAACCTGAGGTCGCCTGAACTCCTGCCAAAGGGAATTTCATTTACAGCCCTGCCGCCCTCACTTAGGAATTGGGTATTGAAAAGAAGTTGGACAGAACCAACAGGGAGGATTCTTTGTTAGAGTCCAGACATCATTTCAGTCATGTTAAAACATGTCCATCCTAATTAGGATTTACATTTCATTTCTCTGTTTAAGTGGCTGTGCTTGAAAATACTGTCTGCAATTATCATTGATAAACTTCTCAGTCAGGGCTTCAAACTGACCATCAATGTGTTACTTACACATTTGATTCATTGGGCACTGTTGCCTTTGAGGTTTATGTCTTTTGCTCATAAACTCCATACTTCAGCTTTGAGTTAATGTTTGAGTAATTGATAAAACAGTAATGCAAAAGTGTTACACTGTGCATCATTAGCGGACATGCTTCAAACCAAAAAAAAAAATCAGAAACCCATTTTGTACTTTGATCACATGTTGTGCTAGAAAATGTGATCCAAACATTTTTTTTGTGCTGCCCAAGATCATGGCAAGAGTTCAGGCTTACCTCCCACTTTATAACTAACAACTTGCAAATTTTATAAGGTTTGACTCTAATGACCTCTTACCTCCTCACAGGGTTCAATAAGTCCAATTAATAAGGACATTTCAGGTAGTAACTTATGGCAACACTAACGTACAATAAACACATGGGAAGTCTTCTCCTCTAAGGTCAAGTAGAATTTCTACCAAGGGGCTAATTATAATCTAATGGATATTGTGGTAAGGCTTTGTGTTGCTGTTGTTCACATAACAACATGGCAATTATGTGAGAGCTCACCAAATCAGACCAATGGAAACCAACTACATGTATTGGTAATTGTAAACAAACTGAGAATGTAAGGACTGTGCTCTGTTTATAATCCTATAAACAGAGCACAGTCCTTACATTCTCAGTAATGAATGGTTACAAGGCTGGGTTTGTTCCTACCCAATTCCTTCGTATTGGTAGTAACCAACCTCTGGAGCTTATGGCAATGTGAAAATCAAGAGTTCTCAGAGTTTACAGTTGAAACATGTAGTACATTGTAGTAACATTGGAAGACAGAACAAAAGTTTGTAGGTGTGATGTAAGTTTGTGGTAAGAGCCACTACAAAAGCCGTGGACTTAAAAATACCCGGAGTATTTCAAAATGTGTACATGTAGTTCAAAGACTGGTCATCCCATGATAGGAAGAATACAACCAAAACTTTATCATACAAAATTGGTATTTTCAAGGATTAGTGGAAAGTAATTCTCATGCCAGTCAAACACTGTTAGTCAATATTGCAAGAATCTTGATTATTGTAGTAATTTGCTGGAAAGACTGACATTTCACAGAAATAAGCAAACAAGAGAATTGCAGCTCATGTGCTAAGATCTCTACTGAAAAAAATAATTTCTGCAATCCATTACGTTTCCAGAAATATGTTGTATCTAGCACCATTTTAAGTACAACCTGGCAGTATAGCTTCATGTTTATGCCAGGTAAGAAAACTCGCATGGCTTTCGTAGACAATCATGGAGGCAACATTCTAAGTGTTCATGTATGTATTTGTATTATTTATTCATGTGTCTGCTGTAAATAGCAGTAGGGCTTATTCAGTCATACTCATAGAAGAAAGGGTTTTGTGATCTAAGTACATTGTGTTTCTTTGCTGATTTCCTAAAGCAAATATGGGAAAAATCCTTGATGTAAAGACATGGCACATATTTCTTTATAGACTTCATTTTGTCATATTCAAAAGGCAAGTATTAGGGCTCTACCCACAAGAGTGTTTGATAACACCATGGAGGTTCTACCTCCATGATGACACAGACTGCTAAACATGAATAAAGAAAGATGGCAGACTCTTACAGAATAACAACCAAGGCATGGAATAAATAGGTATCATAAGGGATCAGATCAAGGAAGTTACATGCTGTACAATACTAGTATTTATGTTATACCTGGGCCGCGATAACGTTCGATACAGGTGTTCCAGACGGCCATTGGGCTATCCGACCCGCGGTTGGGCTGGAACCGAGGGTGATGCGGAACACACTGTGTTGTATTCTATATTTATTTGGGAGGTTTATATGGAGCAGACTGCAGTTTGCGCAAGACCAGCCTGACATGGGAGCAGGTGCTAATCATGTAGTAACATGGCAATAGGTACACAACTCACCAACTGGGCTGAGACACATATGTCAGGACTTTGGGGTAAAAAGTACAACACTATGGCCCATTTTCTAGATAAACTATGATTGAATAATGGATTCTTAAAAATGGAGACAATATTTGACCATTCTTGTTTGTGTTGCATGCTTTGTAAAATAATGACAAAAAATACAGATACGTAAGGTCTGTGAAATATTGGATAAGACGAAATAAACACTACCAATTTGGATACTTATAAAAGCATAATTTATATGATTATACAAGGAGCTTCTATCCTTGGATTATATTAGGGTTGTATAGAAAATTGTAAAAATACACATGCTTTTCTGTATTGTAATACATGTACTGCCATCTGTATGATAGAAATCCAGCTTTGTTATTTACTACCTATTTTGCATCCGTTATATTCAAGTTTGTAAAAGTCCATCTCTGAACTGTAACCAAGAATAATGGAAAGTATATGGGAATGTTTACAGACTACTCCAGTCATACTCTCATCTGTTCTTATAGATGTGCAGATACTAAATGTGTAAGCTCTGGATGTGGAGATGCTTAATCTGAAACCCTGTCCTTTGTAGTGACCTGTTCTTGTTCTACCATAAAGTGTCATGATTAATGCACTGTTTGACATATCTACCGGTAATATCCTGATATGCAAGGAACCGAAACACTGCCAACAGATGAACATGTCACAAATACAACTTTGATGATGTGGCACCAAATCCCCTAGAAACCCTTCCTTTTTCCACAAAAATACTTTGAGGCTAAAAAGGTGCTACATGTGGTATGAGTGTCACTGTGGAGAAACATGACGTTACTTGTGTGGACTGGTGATGTGTTGGGTAATAGTGTTGACTTGATGTACTTTGACTTTCTCTTTTTTTTCTTTCCCTATGGCTATGTGTCTACAGAGAGTGATTGTATGGTAGTCAATGTAGTATTCATGTGGACATGATTGGTCACATGTAAACATTTTCAGGATGAATATATATTACATCTAAAAGAATAAAATTTTGGGAACATCTTTGAAAGGTTGTCACTAGTTTCTTAGTAGGAACTTTTGTTGACACAGTAGAAAAAATGTCCGGGTAAAATCCCGGAAATCCCCAAGTATTTTTAGATGTAATGTTACATGTCATATTCAGTAGCTGTGGCTCTTGATGTACACAACTTTGCCCCATTCCTCGTGGGAGGTAATGAGAATTATGATTACATTTCTAGANGGAGGTATGACTGGGTCTAAAATATGGTAGGACGGCCACGAAAAACGGCCACGACGCGATTGGTCAATTTCTCAGCCAAGCTACAAAACCTCCACGCTGCTATTGGTCGGGGTACCAGCTGCTGCAGTAAGGAATAGCTAGCGGTGGGGAGGGCTGCCGGCGTTTATCCACAGCTTTCAGGGGCAAAAAAACGTCAACCTTTACGGCTATAATCACTCCACTTGGGTGGCTCTTACCTATGGCGCACAGATAAGCCACAAACAGTCATTTGTGCGGCTCTTAGCTCTGGAAACCTTACAGGTATTAAATGAGTGCGTGAGGGACTTGAGTCTAGATAACGTTAACCAGTAAAACGCCGTACATTTTTTGTACGGGAAATACTTTCCATGGGCCTTTCATAATGTAGGGACCAGGTAAGCAGGTGATATATTTGGCGTGGCCCTTGAATCTGAGGAGCAGGTAAGGCACCGTACAGGTGATATTGGCGTGGCCCTTTCATCTGGGGAGCAGGTAAGGTACCATACAGGTAATATTTGTGTGGCCCTTTCATCTGGGGACCAGATAAGGCACCGTATAGGTGATATTGGCGTGGCCCTTTCATCTAGGGAGCAGGTAAGGCACCGTACAGGTGATATTGGCGTGGCCCTTTCATCTAGGGACCAGGTTAGGAACCATACAGGTAATATTTGCGTGGCCCTTTCATCTGGGAACCAGATAAGGCACCGTACAGGTGATATTTGCGTGGCCTGTTCATCTGGGGAGCAGGTAAGGAACCATACAGGTAATATTTGCGTGGCCCTTTCATCTGGGAACCAGATAAGGCACCGTACATGTGATATTTGCGTGGCCCTTTCATCTTGGGACCAGGTAAGGAACCGTACAGGTGATATTGGCATGGCCCTTTCATCTGGGAACCAGGTAAGGCACCGTAGAGGTGATATTTGTGTGGCCCTTTTATCTGGGAACCAGGTAAGGCATTGTACAGGTAATATTTGCATGGCCCTTTCATCTGGGAACTTGGTAAGGCACCGTGCAGGTGATCTTTGCGTGGCCCTTTCATTTGGGGACCAGGTAAGGCACTGTACAGGTGATATTGGTGTGGCCCTTTCATTTGTCGACCAGGTAAGGCACCGTACAGGTAATATTTGCGTAGCCCTTTCATTTGTGGACCAGGTAAGCCACCATACAGGTGATATTGGCGTGGCCCTTACATCTGGGGACCAGGTAAGGCACAGTACAGGTAATATTTGTGTGGCCCTTTCATCTGGGGACTAGGTAAGGCACCGTATAGGTGATATTGGCGTGGCCCTTTCATTTTTCAACCAAGTAAGGCACCGTACAGGTGAAATTGACGTGGCTCTTTCATCTGAGGAGCAGGTAAGGCACCATATTAGTTATAATTTGTGTGACCCTTTTATGTAGCAACTAGTTAAGGTACCGGAAAAGTAATATTTGTGTGACTCTTAGGGACCTTTGATTATTTGGTTCTTTGGCCCTTTGAAGACGAGAAGCTGTCTAGAATGGTTCGAAGTACTGACTTTAACAGTGTTAGGGTTAGTTTATAGCAACAACATGAATGGTGAAGTCTGTTAGGATTTTACTCCAAAAGTAGAATAACTGGAAGTGGATTCTAGTAACAAAATGTAGAGCTAAGATCCGGTATGTGCTTTCTTGATTATAATAATAATAATAATAATAATAGATGGTTTATTGAAAGTAATTTGCAGCCACCGGGCTGAATTGCATACCTTGTACAATTGCTAAAAAATCTTAAATTACAAACTAACAGTACTCATTGAAACTCAATATAGAAACTCATTAACACAATATAGAAACTCATATTACTCATATTACTCATCTCATTACTAATAAACTCATAAGGCTTACTATTAATTTCGTCATAGTTTGCGTTAACACATTTATACAAATATACGTGGCTAGCATTAACAACATTAACCCATATTGGCAAGATTCACTATGTTCGCAAGTTCACAGTTCTTGATTATTTTGGTCCATTTATATTGTTCTGAGAGACACATGTAAGAATCAGTTTCTAAAACCTCTTATAGAATATTCTAATAGTGACTTGTATGTAGATTACATTCTGTTGTTTTGAATTTAATTCTGTAAGACTACTATATATACATGTACCTTATATGTGTACATTCTTCGCTCAATGCAGTTATTAAAGTCAAACTACACCTACTAGTATTCGTTTTCAATTGTCTTTCTTGTACATTGTCTTTGAAGTCAGGAACAAATATGCAAATACACAGAATGTGCCCTTAATATGCCTCTGACTATGACTGACACAAAAACTCTTAAGCTGCTGAATGAGCATGACTGCATGGTTGTTTGGGTACGATTACATACGTACTAGAAGAATGTGAATTAAAATTTCCCCGGGACGAAATTTAGATTTTGACAAACCTTAGCAAAACTTTAAGTTTCAAATTAAAATTCTGACAAAAAAATCTGTAGATGTTTTGAAAAAATCTGTAGATGTTTTGAAAACATCTCGAAATTTTTTCAAAACATCTCGAGATTTTTTCAAAACATCTCCAGATTTCACATTATATACATGCTACATGTAGAAATAGCATTCGGGTATGTGTTTGATACTTAATTCGGGGCATTTTAGAAAGGACCAAAGGCCTTTCAGAACATAAAGATTTCGGACCATAGGGCTTTCGGAACATAACGCGAGCTTAAAACGTACCGGCCGCGGGTTCCGTATCTCGTCTAAAACTGCACGGATTTCTTTAAGATTCGGCTGATATCTTCATTGAAGCTTACAAAGTTACTGTATGAGTTCCCGTGCTGATGTCGTAATTAGTCATTGAGTTATTTTCAATCAAAATTTGCTTCATTCAAACATCTGTCACAACCTTTTCAAAATATACCTTTACTTTCCTTCAAAACGATTCGGTATATATAATATATATATAACCGTTGTAAAAGGAAGTGGTGATACCACTGAAAGGTCCTTACCAGACCTATGTAGAGGATTATGTCTATTTCATAATGTAAATCCCTAACTCTACCTTATTATTGCAATACCGTACCGCACATTTCAGTGGGGTTTGGGGCATGCCCAAAAATGAAGCCAAATGACTGACCTGTATCTACGAAAGGAATGGAAGAAGAGCAGATTTGTTAACAACACACAACGATCAGTATTTCAGGATACTAATGTCGAAGTTTCATCCTAAGATATCATTTCCTTCTCGATTTAGAAAGTAAAACTCAATTTTGGGTGATGCGGTCAAAATCGCGCGTCTTTGCGAAACATAGCGGGTTGAAGACGGTTTCGCATCGCGGGAGCTTGAAACGTGTTGGTTTCCGTATCTCGCTTAAACCTACACGGATTTCTTTCAAATTTGGCTGGTATATTCATAAAAGCTTATAAAGTTACGGTAAGAATTTTCATGCTAATGTCATGATTAGTCATTGAGTTATTTTCAATTGAAATTTCGTCATGAAAGCATAAATGCAGATCTCTCACAACTCTTCAAAATAAAGGATTTCTTTCCTCCGAAACGATTAACTGCAACCATAGAAAAAGGAAGTGGTGATACCACTGAAAGGTACTCAACAGACGTGTATAAAAGATTATGTCTATTTCATAGTGTAAATCCCTAACTCTGCCTTATCATTGCAATACCGCACATTCCAATGGGATTCTGGGGCATGGCCGAAAAATGGGGCCAAATGAATTGCTTGTAGCTTTACGAAAATTCATCAAATAGCAAATCTGTTCACAGCAGAGATAGACCAGTATTTCAGGATACTAATAGCCAAGTTTCAGCTCGAAATATCATTTCATTCTCGGTCTAGAAAGGAAAACGCAATTTTGCGTGATGCAGTCAAAATTGACCTAGAATTGTCTATGCGAAACTTAGCGGTTTGAATGCAACCTCGCTTCGCGCGAGCTGAAATCGTGTCGGTCTCCGTATCTCATCTAAAACTACATGGATTTCTTTCAAATTCGGCTTGTATGTTCATTGACGCTTATAAAGTTACGGTATTAATCCCCATGTTGATGTCATAATCAGTCATTGAGTTATTTTCAATTGAAGTTTCTTCATAAAAGCATACATCTCGCACAACGTTTCAAAATATAAGTTGACATTCCTCCGAAACGACTTGGTGCAACCAAAGAAAAAGGAAGTGATGATACCACTGAAAGGTACTCAACAGACGTATATAAAAGATTATGTCCATTTCATAATGTAAATCCCGAAATCTACCTTATCATTGCAATACCGCATATTTCAGTGAGATTTTAGGGCATGACCGAAAAATGGGGCCGAATGAATTGCTTGTAGCTTTGCGAGAATTCACCAAAGAGCAAATCTGTTAACAGCAGAGATAGAAAAGTATTTCAGGATACTAATGTCCAAGTTTCAGCGCAAAATATCATTTCATTCTCGGTCTAGGAAGGTAAACGCAATTTTGCGTGGTGCGGTCAAAATCGACCTAGAATTGTCTATGCGTAACATAGCGGTTTGAAGACGACCTCGCTTCGCGCGAGCTGAAATCGTGTCGGTCTCCGTATCTCATCTAAAACTACATGGATTTCTTTCAAATTCGGCTGGTATGTTCATTGAAGCTTACAAAGGTACGGTATAAATTCCCATGCTGATGTCGTAATCAGTCATCGAGTTATTTTCAATTGAAATTTCTTCATGAAAGCATACATCTCGCACAGCGTTTCAAAATATAAGTTGACATTCCTTCGAAACGACTAGGTGCAACCAATGAAAAAGGAGGTGATGATACCACTGAAAGGTCCTGAACA